AACTTACGATTAGACGTAATAGTAAGTCTTCGTTTAAAACTCACCGATCTTTCAAAATTCTAGTGAATTTGGATAACAGAAATTGGCGCAGCCGTCCGTCTTCTTTTTGTGGGGGGTGAGTGTTCCACGAGTAAAGTAAGTTAGTCTGTGCACGGACTAGGTTGTGTTTCTGTAAATTTGTGAGCGTTGTTACTCCCCTGCGGTGTGTTTAACTCTGTGTGTCTCTCTATTCTCGTCAGCATTCGTGCCCGAGCACTCGCGACTGGTTGCTGTTGTGCGCTGTCAATAAAAGCTTATTGCCTCTCTACAAATCCTGGTTGCTATTTATTAGAACTAGCTAAAAATCCTTTAGCCCGCGAAGTACGCGGAAGACATCTAATTTAAACCAGGATAGAAAATTGTTATCTGGAACATCGAGGTTGGTAACGAACTTACGATTAGACGTAATAGTAAGTCTTCGTTTAAAACTCACCGATCTTTCAAAATTCTAGTGAATTTGGATAACAGTGTTGAAAAATTTTCCCTCAAATGTGTGAAAAATACTGAATCAGGGTGCGATTGCTAAGATTCCTTCTGTAAGACACTAACTGTAAGTGTAAAGCTTGCGGATCTCATATCCCAGCTGGATTCATTTTTACTTATCGTTTTACTGCATGGTTAATGATGGACGAACCTTGAGGGTTTTTCCCAGGAGCTTGGAGCCATTCAAGACGCACACGGCCCTCTGCGCATCAGATGAAAACGCCAAGTTGACAAAACCATAGCCCACACTTCCACCTGTATCACAAACAAACTGATATTACCCACAGCTAATGGGAAGGCTCATCATTTCCGATGACGTCACTTCATCCAGCTGGGATACCATAGCAACAAATCATTTTTTAGTGAAAGGGAAAAGCTTAGCGCAGATTAACGGTCAGGTTGTTTGCACCGGAACTCAAGCCCGAGAATAACTAGGATTTAGATTGTGACGTCATAAGCTGTACTTACCAAGAACTCTTTGGTCGCCGTCCCATCGGCAATGTTGGAGGATTATGCGGCAACGGACGAAAGCACCAAATGGCAAGAACATTCTACGAAGTCCCTCTCGCGAGAGTTCGACGGGTAAATAATTGACTATTAAAATAGTGCTTCCCATGGATTTGGGTTCATTTCCAATGCTGCAGTCTTTTGAGGCTTCACAAATTGAAACATTGATCAGATATTCCGGCATGGAAAAAATCGGTGCCCATCAGTTTGAAAACGTTCTGCAGCACTTGGGACGCTACCACCCGTTGTCCGTTGTAAACTTAAATCGAATATAAAGGATCATTACCACCCGAACCCGATACGCAAATGTTAAGTTGAGCCTCGCATTTCGTAAAATTTACGGAAAACCGACTGCTGAGTCAGAAAAGTTTTACACATACAAAATCAACAAGGAGAAAAGCCCAACAAACTGCAAATGCCTCCAACTCTTCTAAGGGATAAAATTACGTCTCCTCTGGAATTTCTCTTTTGTTCCCACAGCAGCATACATGGAGAAATTTAACAAGAACTGCACCATAAGATGAAATTCCACTTGGAAAACAACCTTCTTACACAAACATCTTGGACCCAGGTAACCTTGCGATCACTTCATTATTAAATTTGCATTCTTTAGGTTGCAATACAAATATCAATTGAATTAAAGGCATTCCAGATTTATAAAATGTTTTGTGTAAACTGGGCGCCTATGAAGAAGTGATGCTCCGGAAAACACAAGTTCTGAAAAGGTAACTATTTGGACCAGTACTTGCTGATAGTGTTTGACTTTATTTCAGGTGTAATTCTACTCTGATTGATAATGATCTCAGATAAAATACTCACCAGCTCCAGGAATCGGGTACGTGGCAAACGAAATAATTGCCGCGTTGTTTTTCTGGTTTTGCACAGTCAGCAGATTTGGATAGCAATACTGCTGGGGAAGCTGCGAATAGATACATGCCTCGGTTTAATTCTTCATTTAAAGTAAAATTTAAGAATTTCCAGTGTTTCTACTTTTCTACTTCAAACAGTCGACACTAGAAATATTGTACAGTATTCCAAGAGAATCGCTGATTTATTCTACATCAACTCGAATATGGCGGACAAGCTAGCAGAACTTACGAGGGAGTATCAGGGAACAGCATGATGCCAAAGAATTCATCCTTTCTCTTCTCTAAACTAACTTCTTTCGCGACAGCAACGTAATCACAGACAAAACACAAAGTTCAAGAGCAACACTCCATTCTCCACCGTAAGCCCTGACCAACTACGACCCTGCGCGCGGGAGTGCATCACCAAAGCGCCCAAAGCAGTTGGTTAGATGTCTCCGCGCCAAAGTGTACAGAGCGATTCCATTTGTCCAATACTACAACTTGTTCATGGGATGGATCCATGGCATGGAAAACTTCTCTCTTCAACCCAGACAAATATTAACTTATGTCGCACGATCCTTTGCTCCAAAAATTAGACAAGAACAATTAAGTGTAAGTGAACCTACACGTAACAAAATCATGCATATTAAAATAGTTCAATTAATATATTCCTCATGTTTATTGTTTAAAACTTACGGAACGAGTCTAAAACAAGGAATTGTAAGGATGTTTCAATTTTGCATACGTGTACTGTACATGCAACAAAAGCGATGTTTACAATATATCCTAGCGCTTGCAAACAATGTAAGATGCAAAAAATTTAGCATTGCGACCGAATATAGCATCAAACACATTATCCAAGCGCATGAATTTTCAATTCATTCAAAAATTTTTCCTGTTTCATTACAAAAAAAAAAACCACAGTTTCGGGGAATATGAGGTCGACTTTCCTTCCAAAAAGGTTCATGGCATGAGAAGGTTGTATGGGCTGAACTGTCTGACTGGGATGGTTTCAAATCCCGTGCATAATATCACGTTCTCGCAGCACGCCTGCTCAAGGATATTGTCTTGTTTCCTGCATCCATGGTTGAAAAAAAATAATGTCAAAACGAGTTATTGATTTTTATTCCACCAGGGATCACGTGGTTTTTGTGCTTGCTGGTGACAAAAGTGGAAAATTTGACAGGGATCCGTGCAAAGTGGTTTTCTGCTTGATAGCGCCAGAATCAAGGAGAGGGCTGAAATCTCCCATTTGCAATTAATCCTGAAGCAAACGCAAAAGACACATCCTCTGCCTGCAAAATTTATATTTCATGATGGGTTGGTATAGAGAGGAATATGGTTGCCAACCCAGCAAAGAATTGGGGCGTTGGGAAAGGGAACGTTTTGATAATGGCATTGGCAATGTTGTTGCAGCGCCATTGTCAGATTGGGGCTGATTCCCCCCCAACACCCTTTGCTTTATTGAGATTGGGGGAACGCAATGAGAAGCTGCTGACAATGGCATTCTCCCAACATTGTTAAAAATGACAATTTGGAATTGGCATTGGCAGCACCTTGGCAACTCATATTGAAAATGTAGTTTAGAAAATTGGGGTGAGGCCATTTTCAGTGGCATTGCAGAATCCCTCCAGGATGCATTGACAAAGGGAGCCCTTTCCATTTGTGTTGGTGAATGCATTGGGAATGAGTTGACAAAGGGAAGTGATAATGCTGCAGCAAAATAAATAAGGTGATTTTATTTGAAATTTTAGAATGATTGAAATAAATAAGAATAAGTTAGCAAAAGTATAATGCTGAAGGAATATATTTATTAGAAATAATTATGGTAGATTAAAAAATTAATCTAAAAAACCACGTTTTTCAAGTAAGACTAGAGAGCACAAAAAAATTTAGTGGATGAAAAAATTAATCTAAAAAACCACGTTTTGAAGAAGGAAAAAATAACCTTTGACAAACAAACGGACAAGAAAGCAATTTAATAAAAACGTGTTAATAATTAATAAAATAAACGTTTCTGGGGTGCACGCGCATTTCCGCGGAAGCCATTCTATGTTAATGAATCTGGAACATTACTAGAAGAGAAACTAAGCGCTTTAACATACCCGACAATCACGTTGGATGGTTTTCATCAATGCACAGTAAGTTTCGGCTTCCAACATTAGCCCTTCTGTGTGATGTTCAATGAAGTCTAAATCTTTGAACGTCGGGGATTTTTTGTTCCTCTCGTACTTGTTTGCCTTCCGTTTGTACGTAGACCCCTTCAAATCGTACTTCTGGTGGTAACTGATGGATGACGGCAACAAATTGTTCATCACAATGAGCCTAACATTTTTGGAGTTGCACTGAACGAGAAAAAAGGCATCTTTAAAAACAATGGATTTAGATTCATTCGATATGATACCGACCTGGTAACAATATAGGCCGAAAAATTTCGGCAGCAAAGTGCGGGGATTTTGATTCAGATTCTGAAAATCGATCAAAATGAGTCACATTACAGAAATTAAAAGACATTGTTCTTGTCTTACCATGTAATAACCGGGCAACAGCTTCTGTAAAAATTCGGCTTCCTTGTGCTGCACAGTTTTTACTATGAATTCATCATCAATTGTGAGATAAAATATACTGCCACTGGCTCCAGCATTCGACAACTCTTTCAACGGGGAGTCACACATCGAGACCTGAAATTTTCAATTTCAAGAGTCACATTCAAGGAAACGTAAACTTTCTAAAAATGTCGCGAAAAAATATAAATTAGACTAGCTGAACGCGAGGTTACCCCATCGTTTGTTTTCTTCATGCGAGTTATTACATGAGGATGAATATCAATTTTTGGCTCCCAAATGAAATTTAGTGCAACGAAAACTATCAAGGAAATCTCTACTGAAACATTACTCTTCTAATAAACAAAAGCGAGAAATTTTTCTTAAGGGATTCGTCTTCCGGTACGAGAACATGAAAGGACCGACCTGGAAATTTATTTTTTTGAAAGAAATTCGATCAACGCAAAGTAATGAAAAATTCAGAACATTAAAGAACCCGACGATCGGATGTAACTTGCCAAAAAGTCGTCGGGCTGGATCCCGAAGAGATCACGGAAGTATCGAAAGGCCATGGGGGCGTAAATTTTGAAGTGAAAGTCCTGATTATGATGAGCAGGCGTGTGCTGGGATCCTTCTTTGGCGAAATACACCGTCTCAACCACTGCGAAGTCCTGCATCAACAAGTTACGCTCTGGCTTAGAAGCCAGGGAACCAACGGCGTGCGCAATTCCCAGCTGGATAGAGGACATGATTTGTGACGTCTGGATCTTCTTGTATGTGATTTGGCCTTCTTCGTCGACTCGACGGTGCCCAATCTTTTTCTCCTTGTCGGTTTTCTTAGCGGCGGCGCCGGCTGCACCGCCAGACGCTCGCAAGGTGCCGGAACTAACATTGCTATCCGCGGCTTCCAGCTTCACTTTCGGACTACCGTTGACATCTTCACTTTCTATCGTGTCGTCTAAATTAATAGCGGTGGAATTTTTGCGGACAGGAAACGATTCCGCGGCCGAGGCTGTGGACACAACAGCCATCTGCAACAAGCATTAAAGGCAATTAAGATACGTTCAGTTTATCAAAGGCATCTGGATCGCTCAAGCTCATAAGCACAAAATTGTTAAAAGATGCGGCTTCGTTGTAAGAAGGACGTCC